TTGAATCGCTTTCTGGAGGGCACCAAGGCCGCCGCGCAGGGGGCAGGGGAGACGCCACGGCCGCGCGCGATGGATCTCGCGAGCGCCTCCCGCACCCCTCCGCGGCGCGCGAGCACCGGCGAGGAAACGCACGCGAGGTGGGCGGCATCTCCCCCGCCATGGCGAACCGAACGGCGCGATGGGTGAGATGGTGATCGCGTTCTTCGGATGGCCTCGTCGTGCTATCGTGGTGAACTGTGGTGTAGAGGCTGGTTTATATCCTATTCTTTTATTTTTTTCTTTGGGTTGTTTGTTTCATTTAGCGAGCATTTATTCGTTTCCGTGGAGGAAATGCGCGCCACATTTCATGGAGCCCAACAACGAAGTTGTGTATTCCAATATTGCATGTCTGGTTGATTGGTTCACTGGACCGTTTGCATGTTGGGTTATGCCAGCCTACTAAAATGATGGGTGGTCAATCATTAACCTTTTCTTTCTATTTTTTTCTTCTTTTCCCTTTCACTTTATCTGATCCTAATCGTTTTTTTTTTTTGAGATTACATCTTTATAGATCTTCTTCAAGTTTCTCGTTACACAATCAACTACGGTGTGTGCATAGTCAACGCGATACATATTCCATCTATTATTACCCTTTATTGTGCAAGTGAGCATCACTATTATTGATATTAATACTATTGGTATCATAATTACTGCGCTAGTATAAAAAGCACAAGTTGAAGTAACTTTTTCTTATTATTATTATTATTATTATTATTATAATTATTATTTATTAAGTTATAAGAGAAATAGTGAAATATCGAATATACAGAGTTAAAGGGCGTTCTTTTGATTGTTTGTTCATCGATCTTTATACCTAAGAACAGTATTACATCATCTTCACCTCGACAGGAAACTTAGATATCTATATCTATAGATATATATCCAAATCCCTAACAGGCGCGAGCATAAGGACGAAATGTCGGTGTTTGGTGTAGACTTTGGAAACCTTAACTCTACCGTGGCGATCACCCGCTGCGGTGGTGTCGATGTCGTGACGAACGAAGTTAGTAAGCGCGAGACCACGACCATCGTTTCCTTCGTCGAAGATGAGCGTTTTATTGGCGAACAAGCCCTAGATCGGTACGTGCGGAATGCCCAGAACACCATTACCCTTCTCAAACGCTTTGTCGGAATGCGCATCAACCACTCGAACCTGGAGTTTGAGAAGCGTTTCCTGACGTGTCAGATCAAAGGGGATGAGAATGGCCGCCTCATGTTCAGCGTGAACTACTGCGGGAAGATGCAGGATTTTTATCCCGAGCAGGTATTGGCGATGATGTTGCAGAAGCTTCGCTCGTACGTGAGCAACGCGTCGTCGTCGGATCCGAAATTCATCGTGGCCGTGCGGGATTGCGTGATCGCGGTGCCCAGCTACTACGACGCGGATCAACGCCGGCTGATTTACCAGGCCGCCGAGGTTTCCGGGCTGAACTGCATGTCGTTAATCAACGAATCCACCGCGGCGGCGATGGATTACGGCATCTTCCGCGGCTCCACCCTTAACGAGACCGAGGAGGACAGCCAGGTGGTGGGTATTTTAAATATCGGCTACACCACCACGGAGTTTTCCATTTGCCGATTCTGGAAAGGGAATTGCAAGATCCTAGGCCGCGCGCTGGATATCAACACAGGCACCCGCGATGTGGATTACGAGCTTTTTAAGCATATGGTCGAGGTGGTGAAGACCAAGTACCACGTCGACGTCAGTGGGAACCGCCGGGCAAGTTTGAGGATTTTGCAGGCCTGTGAGCGGCTGAAGTATCTCCTCTCCGCCAACTCCTCCGCGCCGCTGAATGTGGAGAATATTATGGATATCGACATCAACATCCCCTGCTTCGAACGGGCGACGTTGGAGGAGCTGTGCGTCGGGGTGGCGGGGCGCGTTCGCGCCGTATTGGAGCGCGGCTTCCAGCAATCCGGCATCGCCCCGGAGAAGTTCCACAGCATCGAGGCGATCGGCGGTGGTTGCCGGATCCCGATGTTTAAACAAATCATCGAACAGGCCCTTGGCCGGCCGGCGAGTTTCACGTTAATCGCCTCCGAAACGACGGCGCGCGGTGCGGCGATCATGGCGGCGATGCTCTCCCCGAAGTTTCAGGTTCGTCGGTTTAAAATCGCGGAGAGTGCGATGTATCCGGTGTTGCTCGGGTATTACATCCAGAACCCGAAGTCGCCGAGCGCGGTGCCCTTCTTGCCGGATGTCAACAAGGTCGTCACCTTGCTTGGCGCGAACAGCGCCTTTCCGAAGGTCGTGGATGTGAAGATCCCGCGGAATGGTCCGCTCAAGCTCTACGCCTTTTACGACCCCGAGGACGAAAACGTGAAGCGGTTGATCATTCCGGAGAACTACGTGATCGGGGAGTGGGATATCGCGCCGGCGATCGAGAAGCCGCGGGGCCAGGTTCACGAGATCAAGGTGCGGATTAACCTCAAACCCGATGGCCTGATCTACGTCGAGGGCGCGCACGCCGTGGATGCCTACGAGGTCGAGGAGATGGTCGAGGCCGAGCCCACGAAGGCCGAGGCGAACGAGGAGGCCCCGGCGGCCGGGGAGTCCACCCCCCCCGTCTCACCCGCCGAGCCCGAGAAGGTGTTGGTGAAGAAGGCCAAACAACGCCTGCTGGAGATGCCCGTGACGCCGAATCTCGACGTCCTGGGACACAAAACGGAGACGGTGGTCCGGTTTTGCGCGCACGAGAAGGAGATGTACGACCG